CGCCGACAGCGTTTGCCATTGGACATATCACTGGGGGCCCGCGCGCCGGCAAGTCCGCGGGGCCCGATGGCCCCCCCGCCGCCTTTTCTCAAGGATGGCCCCCGCAATTCTGGCCCAGGCCCCGCGCCCGCCCCCGCGCGCCATTGCCTTTGCGACGCGCAAGCCCATTTTGTTTTAAGGCATGGGGCGATAGTTTTCCTGCGCGGGGGTCTCGGGTCCCCCGCGGGGAACCATGGCCCAGCGCGTTATCCTTCTGGCACGTGCGATGTGCAAGCTGCGCCGCCGACATTGTCGGACGCCGGCTTGGACGTCGCTCCGCATGCGCTTCATGGCTGGGCAGCGCGGGGGGCGTTGCGCACCAGGGGACTGAGATGCCGCCGCGCGGGCTCGAACCGCTCAAGGTCGTTTTTTCCAGCAACAATTTGCAGGCGTTCCTATATTTGGCTTCCGTGGGACCTTGTCGGCGCGCCCCGCAACGCCATCAAACAGTCTACCCCCCCTTCCAGAGAGGAGCACTAGTTCCAGGATGCACATGGGCAGGTAGCGCCCCGTCCTGCTTTGCTAGAAGGCGCCGCGCATACACCGAGCGCCTTACGCGCGCCCACCTCAAGGCGCTCAGCCGTAAATCTCAGCGCGGCACCTTCTTGATTTCGCTGCCCCTAGGACCACTCTGGCAACGGATTTGTTTAACATCGTGTTTCATTCCGTGCCTGTGAAGATTAGGCAGGGCATTCACGTCATGCCTGCAGGCGCGCGATGCTTAAATCTGGTCCCAAATGTCATTTGTACTACCCAGAGCGACTGGGATCGCGCCCAGGCTGCGTTATCATGCGTTGACGACCTGAGGGTATCTCTCATTGCCCGCACCTCAGCCGAAATGCCCAAACTTGCACTTGCCCGCTTCGGTGGATGCACACGTCGTACGTCTGTTTCTGGGCTACGGGCCACAACGACCAACGCGAAAATATTTAGTTGCTTGACGGAGAAAAACGGCTCCAGTGGCGCCCCTGGTTTTGATTTCGGCTATTTGTCGGAAGTCCGCTCGGACACTTGGGGCCCCGCGTTTCCGCGCACTCGCCCGCGCCAAACTTTGCGGGCGCAGGTATCTGCGTCGGGGGGCACGGCCGTGAAGATCACATCGCGCATATCGAATGCCCGAGGGGCGCATGCCCCGATCCAAGCCACGGCAGAGCCTCGCGCGCGCCTTTCGCTGCGGGCCGAGGTCCTTTACTCGGAGGCCCTGGCTTCTTCGGCGCTCTATGATGCTGCAGGGGCATCGGCTGTTTTCACCTTGCAGCAACCTTGGAACATGCAGATTACCCATATCTCTTTATACAGGGCCGCCTTGGTTTTGGCCGGTACCACTGAGACTGCTGAGCAGGAGCTGTCTGCCAAAGCGTTGCGCGGAACGCAGCGGCCACCGTATTTTTTTCGTGCGACGGCGGCTCGGTTAAGACATTCGGCCCGCGCGTTGGCCCATGTCCCCCGCCCTGCCCCCCCCAGACGTCGCGTGGGCGGATTTCAGAGGATGGGCTAAATTTTGCAATGGCGATTCTGATTGGCTGGGCTTGCACGCCGGGCCTTCAAGGCGCTCGGGGGACTTCTCGGCGGAAGGTTTGGCCAAATTCGTGCTCAGCCACTTCTCCGCGTTTTCGGCGCGTTCTTTCTGCGGTCATGCAGCGTGCCAAGCCATGCGAGCACGACAAACGGCATTGCCTGATGTGTGAGCGTGAGTAACGCATAGCAGCTGAAGCGGCCACACCGGGAATGCCCGTTATTTTCGATGCCCGTCTTGCGCGCCCCATTCGCTCCCAGCGGGCCGTGTCCAAGCAACAAATATTTGCGCCCCCGCACAGGACACAATCAAATGCGGCCTCGTGCCTAGTAGCGGGTACGGTTTGCCAAATGTGCCAAAAGGATTTTGCCAGCATGCCCCGTCTGACCCAACATCTCCGCAATTGTCTCGCATCCAGAACATCTTGGACCAGGCCAGGATTCGCGCGGCCCACCGACGAGGAATAGGCGGCTGCCAGGGCGGAGGCCAAGCAGGTCACAGCACTCAATCGCAGGAAAGGGAGGTCTGGCAATTTTGTTGAGCACCTCCCTCTGGCAGCGCAGCGCCGCCCCCCGGCTGCCCCCCCCGCGCTCGTCCCACGAGAGCAGGAGAGAAAGGGGCGCGCCCTTTTTGTGGTTGATGTCCGCCCTGCCCCCTCGCCACCAGAGACTTTCCGACTTCGTCCCCGTCCTTTTGAGCCCTTGAAGTCTGCGTTGCGCTCATCCTCTGGATTTCGGATGGTGGCGATCTCCTGGGGCATGTCGAGGAGATGTTCGGCGCCCCACCCATGGGGGCTTGACGGCACCTGGCGCCACTCGGTCGTGGACACTACTGCTCCGCTCGGTTCGCGCTGCTGCAGCACTCGCAGGCCCCCCCCTGTGAGACACGGTCGCTCGCCCCCCCCCCCTCCCGTGCCCGAAAACGCGCCCGGGGGAGGGGAAGGCCGCCGTGGCCGCTGCGCACGGCTGGCACCTTGCGGGGACTCTGACACCTGAGCGTCCGCGAGCGGGAACAGGTACGTCTGGGCAACGTGTTCCCGCGCACAACGCCGAGGCCACTCTACGAGGCCTGGGCGCATGGAGCCCCAACTGTGCTGAAACATTTTTCAGGAGGGGAAACAACACACATGCACAATCAATCGTCGATATCCAGGAAACCATGGGAAAATGTGGGAAGCGGGTGGAGGACTAAAACACAGAACATATTTGATAAATATGGGGAATCATGGGATTTGTGTGTATTTATTTGTGCGTCCCTGGGCCCCCTTAGTCCTTCGGTGAGCCCCAGACTATCCGATGCCCTCAGTTCTGTGCTTCTCCCTCAGACCCAGCGCCTTTTGAGACTTCCTGGCGTTTGTGCTCCTCGTTCTCATCCATGCATGTTTGGGGCGCGGGCGTTCGAACCGATTGCGCTCCCGCCGTGCACGTCGCGGCCATGTCGACCAGGGCGCTGCATTCACAGCAGGCCCCATCGGGGCCTCGCAGATGTTGGAAGCGACAGTCTTTGGCGCGCGTCCCATACGAAAACTTACATGTCTGTGCTGTGCCTGTTTCTAGCGGCCTGTGTCTGACAGGAATCCCGTGAGAGGTTCCCTGAATTCTTTTGTAATCCCCTCCCTAGTTCCCTCCCATCCCCAGCTCTTGACAAACCACCACCCTTGCGGTCCTTCAACGACGATCGAACGTTCAGGGATTTGGTTGACCTTGACAGCTGCTAAAATGGATGCGTTGTGCCGACGGAACGACGTCGGTTTGCGGCGCCTTTGGATCCCCATGTGGCGGGTCGAATTTCTATGGGCTATACTACACAATCTCACCACGCGCACTGGCCCGAGTACGTTATGCACCTGCGTCACGGTCTGCAGCATTTTCTCTTCTGCTCTCATCCAACTATTCGGTCTTGAGCTGCAGCGTTGCGAATGGTTATCCACCACGGTGAAAGGTTTGCGAAGAGCTATACAACGAAGGAATGACGAGCCCACGCGAGTTCCTTCAGTTTCTTGCAGCGCCTTCGGAAGTAACAAACCTGGTGAGTATCTTCACTTTGTTGCCCGCCTATGTTGCCCATCTAATTAAAGCGGTAGTACTTTAGTGTTGGGCGGGTCCGTGCCATATGGCGCTGGCGTTGCTGCTGCTGCTGTTGCTGCTGCCTGTTTCGTTCTTCACCCAGTGGTTTGTTCGTCTTTTCTCTCCTTACGGAGACGACTCTCGGGCTCCTAGACCGACCCGCCGACCGAGGAATAGGGAGAGTGGGAGGGGGAGGAGGGACGAGGAATAAGGAGGAACACGCGGATGAGGAAGAGGAGAAGGAGGTGCAGGAGGAGGAGGAGGGCGAGCAGAAAGGCCAAAGGTCTATTGGATGCCTCTCGGAGTTTCTTCCGATTTCGTTTGAAAGTTTCTTGGGAGCCTCCTGGGGCGTCTTGGGGGCCTTTTGGCAATTCCGGAGGCGTTTTGGGTGCCTTTGGGAGGTCTATTGAAGCCTCGTGTGGGCATTTGGGGGGCATCTTGGGACCTCTTTGGGCTTCCTGGGCACCATTTAGGGCTGTCTTGGTGCATCGTTGGGAACCTCGGGGGCCATCTTGGGGCCATCTTGGGAGAGATCGACAAAAGAGGGGGGCTCCTTACAGGGTCCCCCCTGGAGGCTAAAACGTGACCAAGTCCATTATCGCCGAGGCCTCTTGGGGCGTTCTGGATGCAGTTTTGGGGCGGGGGGGGCGCCTCTTGATGGCCTCTGGGGCCATTTTGGGGAAGATCGATCAGCCCCCTCCCCCCAAGGAGGCCAAACGTTGGCAAACATCCAAATCAAACAATGTGTTCGGCATCTTCGCCATGGCCTCGTGGGGCGTCCTGGGTGCCCCTGGGGGGTCCTCCTGGGAGGTCTCTTGGGAGCCTCTCAGGGGGCATCTTGGGGGCCATTGGGGGGTCTCCTGGGCACCTTTTGGGGGCATCTTGGGGCGTTGAGGCACCCTTGGGCCCTTGGGAGCCGTGGAGGCCATCCCCGGGCCATCCTGGAGAAGATCGATTAGATCAAAGGAAGGGAATCCCCCTTCTAGGGCCCCCCCAGGAGGGGAAAATATTTCCGAGACCCTCGTAGGATCAGTGGTTTTGGCTTCCGCGCCGAGGCCAAATGGCGCCCAAAGATCTTGCGGCCCCGCCTTGCAAACCCGGGGGGAGGGGGAGGGGTGAGCGACAGTGGGGGGTAAACCCTTCCCCGAGAAGGGAAAAGGGGGCTGGAGGAGGAACCGCTCCAGACCACACCCTCCCAGAGGGCTGGTGGGATGTCCTTCCTGTTGCTACCTCCCCCGTGGCCAGACGAGTGCCCGCCCAGGTTCTCCGACATCCCCGCGCCTTGCGGCCAGGGAGGATTGAGGAGGAACCGCTTTAGACCACTCGCGCCCAGAGGGCTGGTGGGATTTCCTTCCTGTTGCTGCCTCCCCCGTGGCCAGGCGAGTGCCCGCCCAGGCTCTCCGACATCCCCGCGCCCTGCGGCCCGGCCCCCCCCCGCTGCCGCTGCCGCCGCTCCCGGCACGCCGGCCGTCGCTCGACGCTTGATCTGTAAGAGGGGGAGCAACGGGTGGGGAGGAGGAGGAGGAGGAGGAAAAGGATGAAAAGGAGGAGGAGGATGAGGACGACGACGACGAGGTTGACGACGAGGTTGACGACGAGGACTAAGACGAGGACGAACACGAGGACGAGGACGAAGACGAGGACGAGGAGGACAAGGAGGAGGGGTGGGAGGAGTGATATTGTAGGCCCCCATGAACTGTCGACTAATATTGGCCTAGACGTGGTCAGAGGCTCCTTGCGTCGCCACGCCGGATAATTCTGCGATCGCCCTTTCTCGGCTGCTGGATTGCTTCTTCCCGTGATGAGCATTCGGGCCCAAGTGTTGAAAAGCCAACTTGGATAGGCGAGCTGTTCGGCGCCGTGGGCCCCAATCGGACGGCCGCCTTCACGGCACGATCAGAATCGCGCGCCCGCGCCTCCCCGGGCAACTACATAACAACACAACAACACTTACGTGTTTTGTTTCGGCGGTTTCCCGCCCCAATCGTTGATGGCAACGACGGGTGCGAGCATAGCCTCCACGGTTTCAAGCACCACGAGCACAAGCAACACGAAATATCGGCAATCACGCCAGAACCATGGGACAAAATGCCACGGCCTTTTTTCGACATGGTTGTCAGCGCTTGCGTGGCGCACCAGCAGCAACAGGGCGACGGACAGCAAAGTAATGTGAATTTGGAAGAGTTCACAACATGTGTGCCACCACGGTGGCGACTGCGCATCAAGGGCTGCGCGATTCGACTGTGCATGCAGAAGTTGAAGCTCTGGTGGCGGACTACTGGAGCTGCGTGGGGGATAATTGGTCCATTGATAGCATCACCAGAGCAGGGAACAGACTTCACGGCGGTAGTGGCCGTCACTCATCAACGAGATGGAATTCAGTAATCTCTCTACCACCGATTGCACGAGCCGCGGAAGAACAAACAAATATCAGGATCGCCATCAAGTCGCAGAGAGCAGTCGATTAATTGCCTGACCACGGTCGAGCTGGAGTCGTTTGAGATTCGTTGTTCGACTGCCGGCGACGATTGCATCAAGGCTTGCCAACGTGAGTATAACTTCCAAGCTTGCATTCGATGATACTTGTGGGGACAGATGCCAGGTCATGAATTGCACAGGCCGTAGCCCAGTCTTGCTCAAGAACAGCGGCCTCGCAGGCAAGCGCACCGACGACCTGAAGTAGCACGTCGCAGAGGATATCTCTCAATCTCGGGCGCTGTTGGGTCTCACGGTGCGACTCGGCAAGCAAGAACGAGCACGCAATCATCATGAATCGGTTCGGGCGGAGAAGAATGCACACCTGGGGATGAGGATGCTGAGCATGAGGTGTGTTTAGGATATTCTCAATGCGAATGGGGATACGACGTCGAGCACGGATGGACCGACGAATGGTGCAATCAGGAATGCGTCGACATGTGGACCAGATACGACAACGACGGCAACATGACGCAGTACTGGACATAGTACTGCGAATCAGAGAATGAGGGACCTTATGCGTACTACGGTGGCAGTGGCAAAGGGCGAGGCAGAAGCAAGGGAAAGAGTATAGGTCATCGACGAGGCCGTGATTTCCAGAAGGCTGAGAAGGTAAAACGAAAGGGCAACCGGGAGGTGGACATGATCGCTTGGGCGGTAAAGGACAACGGCAGATCGGACGCAGTACTGGCGGTCCCCAGTTGCACAATGATGCGAGCTGGCCCGCGAAAGAAAACCGAGCTCAGCAGCAGCGGCGAACTCTATCAGCAACAGCGAAAATTGCAAGCGCAAGCCTCGCCATGATGTAAATGTGACAGGCCTGGCATATGCAGCGAGTTTGTCGGCCTCAGCAACAACCCCGCAGATGGCCGCTCGCCCTGCAGGCTCTTGGACCACGGTCGACACCGCAGTGGCATCAATGATTCGCACACTTCCCTTGGAACATTACTGCACGTATAGCCCCGAGCACGCGGGCAGTCCTAGTGCTGCGCCCGAAGGAGGCGCGATTGAGCCGACGCAGCCACCATCAGAAGCAGCTCGAGCACATGGAAGGGCGCTTCGACCACCAATTCTCAGATCAGCATCACCGACGCCCGCAGATCGCCCTCACCGGACACTTCTGAAGAGCGTGTTCTCGCGAAGTGGTGAACGCGCGACTTCGACGGGCAGTTCGAGGCCAATGACGCTGGCGCAGAAGCGTTCCGAACAGTATGTCCCGTCGGTCCTGCGGACGTCGACCGGATGCGCAGATTCAGCCATCCGTCAGCAAATGCAGGCATGGCAGTCAGCATATATATATATATATTTATATATATATATATACATTCATTTCTATACATATATATGTATATACAAATATAGACGGTTGACAACAGCTCATCGTTATTGGGTCATATTGACAGGACTGGAGAGCAGTTGGGCGACGCCCACGTCGCGCTGCACATGGTCGAGGGCAGACCGCGACGAGGACTCGCGGCTGATCCAGGGGCAGTTGAAGGCCCACTGGGAACGGAGACGCCCAGGGACTGGAACCGAGGTGCTTATTTACGCATGGGCTTTTTTCTATGAAATATATAGCCATATATGCAAGCACAGATCGAATGGGAGCCGCTCGAAGTGCTGTTCAAGTTTGATTTCTCTCCTGCGTCTCACTCCGCCCTCCTCAAGACTTGGGCGGGGGGGTGGTCCACAAGCCGACGCCTGCGCACGCGTGACAAGAGCGCAGGCGGCCCATGTGTTTTCGGCTGCCAGCAGGGTGACGTTCCTGATGCATCTGGCTCCATTTCTCACTGCGTGCTCTGCGCTCACATGTGGCACGCTGTCTGCACGGTGTGGCACGTGCGCTTACTTGCGCCGAACAGCAAGCTCAAGGGCGCTGACGGCGAATGGCTCAACACGATGGTCAAAGCAACTTCGGTCAGCGCACGCGTCTCTTCCTCGGTCTCGATCGCAGCGGCAAGACAGCGAGGCGAGAGTTCCAGACCAAGAAGCTCACCCAGATATGCAAGACCCAACATGACACGAAGCGCTGGCGAGGCGACCGCCAGCAAGGGATCATCTATTGCAACAACCTGCCCATCCTCTCCATCTCCGTGGGTTCCACAAAGGACGAGCCGACCAAATTGCTCTTCAGCTACCAGGGCTGCCTCGCACACGGCATCAACAGGGAGGACGTCCGCGCGAAGTTCGAAGAGGTCTTCCAAACATCCTTGGACGCGAGGGACGTCCAGTGGCAGCTTTAACAAGACGCTGGCCCCTTGGCGCAGGGCACAGTCTGATGGCGCCATCACTTTCACTACATGGAACACGCGAGCGCTCCTCTGCCAGGACCCGCTCGAGCGCAAGAAGAATGTCACCCGTGTGCTGCAGGCGCTCAACTCCACGTCGGTGCTGGCCATGCAGGAGGTGCACGGCTCTGAGGCGGAGCTCGCCCACGCCCTGCACTTTGGCCACAAGTCTGCGGCCATCTTCACCTCCATCCCTGAGCGCGGCACGGGAGGCGCGGCGATTGTGCTCCCTGGACTCTCGCAAGAGGAGGCGGCTGATCCTGACCGGGTCCGTCACACCGCACCCGTACCTGGCCGCGTACAACGTCTCCAAGTCAAGTCGGATCTCGCTGGTGCACCCGAGGGCGCTCTGCCGTCCACGGTGGTGATCTACAACGTTCACAACTTCCACCTCGCGCACGATCAGGCCCAGCGCACGGTGGGCACGATCAGGGCGGAGCTCAGCGCCGCAGAGCAGCAGCCTGAGCGCATCGCAGTCATGATCACGGACGGCTTCAATTTCATGGATGGGGCCCGGTTGGAGATGACGGCCCCGCTCGTCAACGCGGGGCTACCCAGGCTACGCAACGTCCACCCTGAACATCAGCTTCTCTGGGAGCAGGCGCTGGGCGACATGGTCGAGGTGGACCCCGAGCTCCCCGCGCACTACACTGAGCACTCCCAGCAGCGCACGCGCATCGACAAGATCTATACCAGCTCGCCGCCGCGGCTGTTGACACAATGGCGTGCGAAGGTCGACATGCCCATGGCGCCTGACATGCTCTATGACAAGGGCATTTCGGATCATGCCCCAGTACACCTACGCCTTTCAGCCCGAGCTCGTGAAGATCGCGGGTCGCAGCCGATCCCGCAGTATATCTTCGAGCACCCTCTTTTCATCAAGTACTTTGACCTGCTGGTCAGCCATGCCGACCTGGACAGCTGCACGCCCTTTGTGCGCCTCCAGGGGCTCAAGCGCCTGATCCGCGAGGCGGCGCGCCTCACCCGCAACGGCCTGACAGACATGCATGCGCCGTGCTCGGCGGCAGCTCTCGCCACTTGCAGAGCGATCTCGAGGGCGGTCTGGCGCAATGACTGGCAGAGCGCACGCACGCTGAAGGCGCGCACCGAGCTCGGTGACCAGTTCTTGGACACCTCTCACCCGAACAACATTACGCTGATCGGGCCTGGCACGTTTCGCCGCGTCTTCGAGCAGCGCCAGAAGTCGCACCAGGACCAGCGCACTGAGGCCCTGCTGCAGGAGGGGTCCGCCGCTGACACGCCCTTCCAGCAGCGACAGCGGCCCCGCAAGATGAGGAAGGCCATCCAGAAGCGTGGCAAGCTCTGGGCCCCAACGGGCAAGACCGTCTTAGACCCTCAAGCTCAAGGCTATCGAGGTGATGCGCGACCACAGCACCACGGAGACGCCTGCTGCCATGATCGAGGAGCTCCGTCGGCAGTGGTCCCCAGTCTTTCAGGCGAAGTCAAGCCACCTCCAGCAAGTAAAGCGCTACCTCGAGAAGCACACCGTTACGTATGACTGCACGGACATGGGCATCCCCACTTTGGGTAATATAAAGAACCTGATCAGCAGGCTCAACAACTCGGCGCCTGGACCTGACGGGATCCCTTACATGGCCTGGAAGCGGATCCCCTCGTCGGCGCAGCTCATGCTCGACGCCACCATCGAGATCATGCAGGGCTACCCTGTCCCGCTCACCTTCAATGACTCGCTGATGATCTTCACCCCTAAGGGGTCGGAGCCTGCTGACGAGCATGGAGCGACGGGGACGGCGAAGGCAATTCGTCCCTTTTCTCTGAAGAACACGCACTGCAAAATCGTCGCGGTCATGGGGAATGAGCTGATGAAGCCGATCGTAGCCAAAGGCGCGCACAAGGCGCAGAAGGGCTTCTTACCGCAGAGGCGCTTCATCGAGCACGTGGTAGCGATGGACGCGCAGGCTCGCGTCGTGGCCATGCAGTCGGACCCCGTGGAGAAGGACCCGCTCCTGGTGCTCTTCGACTTCGGCGACGCGTTCCCCTCCATGTGCAGGGTCTGGCTGGACACCGCGCTGGAGATCGCAGGTTCCCCGCAGGGCATCCGCAACATGGTCGACGCGATCTACCTCCTGCCCGTTGCCTTTATCAACCTTGGGGGCGCGCTTGAGGTGTTCTGCGCGCTGGCCTCGGGCATCCTCCAGGGGTGTCCGTGGTCGGGCACTCCCTGGGCCGTCGGCGTGGATCCGTTGATCAGGGACATGCACACCCGCTCGGGCAGTTTCAAGGGCGCTGTCATCGGCGCCTGCGCAGATGATGTGGGCAGCGTGATGCCTGCGCTGAAGATGTTGCGCCCCATGTCCAGCGTCTTCTACGCGGCGGAGCTATTGGCGCGCCTGGTGCTCAAGACGGCGAAGTGCAAGATCATCCCGTTGGCGGACTCCATCTCGCCCGCGGTCGTGGACAGGGTGCGCGCCAAGATCGAGGCGCTGTCCCCGAAGTGGAGCGGCATGACGATCACGGACATTGCTGGATACCTTGGGGTGCTGATGGGCCCGAGCGTGGATAACCTCAAGCGCTGGCAGAAAGTGGCGGCGGGCTGGCAGCGCACGACCAACCTGATAGCGGATGCGAGTGGGCGGTAACCAAGATCTCCTACCCCAGCCAGTTGTTCCTGTGGCCGCCCAAGATGAAGCGCAAGGAGAACTGGGCTCTTCACCGCGTCTGGCACCTTCCTCCTCAAGCGCTGCCACGAGATGATCTGCTTCGCATTGGTGACTGGTCGCCCTCGCTGAAGGCGGTCTCGCTCGAGCTCAGCAACAGGGCCGCCCTGATGCGCAGCGCCACGGACTCGGCGACGAACTGGCCGCACTGGGCAGCCAAGCTCAAGGAGGCGGCGGCGGTGGCATTGCCCCTCTACGACCTGGCGCTGGGCATGCATGCGCCATCGCACTGGCGCTCTCCGCCGATTGCCCTCACCTTGGAGGAGGCAGCTGGCGGCTTCAAGATCGACCCGAAGGGGCTGGTGGCCACCGTTTGTGGCCAGGCACTGAATGAGTGGCGCGCGGAAAGAGCCCGCCTGCTGGTTGCCCGCCCGAATCCACGCTTGCGCATGCAGAAGCACATCCCCTCGCTCCTGGTTGATCGCCTCCCCTCGACCTTCCTCGCCCGCCTCAACTCCTGGTCGACAGAATCACAGCCATATGCACAAGCACAGATCGAATGGGAGCCGCTAAAAGTGCTGCTCAAGTTTGATTTCTCTCCTGCGCCCCACCCCGCCCTCCTCAAGACTTGGGCGGGGGGATGGTCCACAAGCCGACGCCTGCACACGCGTGACACGAGCGCAGGCGGTCCATGTGTTTTCGGCTGCCAGCAGGGTGACGCTCCTGATGCATCTGACTCCATTTCTCACTACGTGCACTGCGCTCACATGTGGCGCGCTGTCTGCACGGTGTGGCACGTGCGCTTACTTGCGCCGAGCTCGCTTCCTGCTCGTCTGGGCCCCTGCAGCGGAGAATCGGACGAGCATCCTCAGCGTGTAGCGCTGGAACGCACCATCATTGCTTTTCAGTTGTACAACATTCAGTCGAAACTGCCGCCAGGGAAGTGGACACTCTCAGAGGTGGCTGTGGATAGTGCCCGTGCTGCAAGGGCACTCTTCCTCTCAACGCACAAGCCTGCTGCTCAATAGTCTGTTTGACTCATTGTGGAGCGCAAGCACGAGCGATATATAGGTATCAGCGGCTTCATTCGTGGGTAGTAATGGACAAACGTATCCATCGCGCGGTGACTGGTCTCGGACGCATCAGGCTCAGGGCGCGCAGTCAGGCGCGACATTCAGAGCATGCCTTCTCGGAGGCCATGAGCTGGGCGCATTGAACTACTGGTCGACAGCACCAGGCGCGGCAGAAGTGCGTTTCATTCGGCGACGCGGTTGTGAATGACGACCGGGTTCAGGCGTTCGTCCCGGGCCCCAAACTATTGCCGAGAGTGGCGCGCGTGCTCTTGACAGACTCGCGCCACTACTTACGTCCGAGCGATGGCGGCGCGCCTCAGGCATCCCAGACAGCACCCCCGTGGGCCCCCGAACGCGCGAGACGGGCCAGGCGCGCGCGCAGTCGAGACCTCAAGGCGGCTGCCAAGCTGGCGATCCGCTCCCCTCGCGAGCCGGGCGGCGCCGTCCAGGTCGTCGAAGCGCGCGCCCAGCTCGAGAGCAGCCAATGCGTTTGGGACGGGCGTCGGGCGGGGCGTCGTGCTGGGGCAAGGCGTCGGGAGGGGCGTCGTTCTGGAGTGCGGCGTTGGTCGAGTGCGGAGGTCGGCTGCGCTGGGAGGTCGATCGCCTTGCGGCCGAGCACGCACGGCTGTCTGGGGTCGCGGGGGTCGGCGGGGGCGCGGGCAGGCAGGCAGGCAGGCAGGCGGGAGGAAGACTCGCGCGGACGGCAGGGGAAGAAGAGGGTCTGGTCAGCGCATTCGGAGGGAGATGAGGCTAGAGGCAAAGAAGAACGCTGGGCATCTGGAACTTGAGGGCGCCGCGACCACGACCGCCTCCGAGCTCCGCGAATTATGGGTCTGAACAGGAAGTGGGCGAAAGAAACCAGCGAACAGAGGGGGGGGGGGGGGGGGGGCGATAATGACGATGGCAAAACCTGGCGGCGCAAATTGCACGCGCAGCACCCAGCGCCCCATCGCTGGATGCACCCCCGAAAGAGCGACGGGCTGCTTGAGGGGCTGAGGGGGGGGGGGGGGCGGGGCTGACAGACGAGGGGGCCCGGGTTGCATGCAAAAACCGTCGCGCCCGTCTGCGTGTCATTGTCCTCGAAGGTCTTCTGCGCGCGGCCGCTGGACCAGGCGGCGTTCGCGAAGGTGGCGAGGCAATTCGCGCGCTCGCCGTTGGGCACCACCACGTAGGAACACATGCGGCCAACTGCTGACGAAGACCGTTGGACGGGCACGCCCCGATGGCGCGGCCCTCGTCCGCGCGCGTCTCGACGCCGACGACCGCAAGCGAGCAGCCGACGACGCCTGTGGCCTGCTCCGCGGCGCTGCTCACGGCGCCTCCGACGAGCCCGAGCTGGCCTCGAACACCGCAGCCTGGGCCTCCAGCTGGAAGAGCCGCTCCTGGGCGCCGCCCTCCTGCTCCACGGGGCCGGCTGCGAAGGCGACGAGGAGGCCGATCGGGATCAGCGACCAGGTGTGCACGAGCTCGCTCCAATTCTTCGTCGTGGCCAGGCCGCGCGGGCCGCCGCCGGGAACCTGGGGGCGGCCCCCTGCGGGCTCGCCATCGGCCGGCGCAGTCGCGCATCGCGAGTCCGCGAGCGCCGCCTCAAGGCCCGCGGGGTGGGTCTCCTCCTCGCGCAGGCTTCCGACGACGGCGGAGCCCTGCAGGCTCCTGGTTCGCATCAAGGCGGTGGCCGCGCGCTTGCCGCCAGGCGCCCGGGCGAATGGCAGCCAGGGGGCCCGCTGCCAGGGCAGGCCCGCCCTGGCCCAAAGCAACGCCGCCGCCAGTTCCGCCGCGACGGCCGCCGCCGACGATCGCCTCGCCCGCTGGGCGCGCTCCCCGGGCGGCCGAAGCCCCGCCCGCGCCATCGCGCCTCCTCGACCCGCGAGCGCCGCCCAGGCCACGCGCCAAGCTCAGCAGCGAGACATGCGCCGCGCGGCGCGGCGCGGAGGACGATTACGCGCGCGATCTTGAGTCAGGGGCTTCAAAATGAGGACCCAACACCATCCTGTGGTGCTGGGTCCTTGAGCCATGGTAGCGCGGTCGCAGGTTCGCGGGTGCTCGGAAACGTGGCACCAAGTCTTGACGAGGGGCAATGTCATGTAATGGTACAGTTGCCACTGGTAATGGTGTTGAAGGTCGCGCTGGTTTTTGCTATCGCCTCTTGCTTGCCTCGTTCGTCTTATTACTCGCGGGTGCCCGTGGATGGAGCTGCCGTCCATCCGCAGATGAGCGCGCGTTCGGATGTCATCCTGGTGAGAAGGATCTGGGTCGCAATCGCTTTTCTTTTTGCAGCTGGGTGGCTTGCACAACTTCACTTACTAGGCAACTCCGTTATCGTTCAATTTCTTCGGCCTGCATTTCGTCTGTTATGATCCTGCTCAGCTGCTGGGCAGTATCAGTTTCTATGTTATATGTCTCTGGGGATCCCTGATCGGCGTTTGAACCTTTTGCCACTGACGGTGCTGATGCTGCAGATGCCGACGATCGCTGTCGTTACTTTTTGACCATATGTTGAACGACGCCAAATATCCTTTCGAAAATTTGAGCCTTCGCCTCAAATCTCTCATTCGTTGGTGTTCTGGATTGGCCGGATGATGTTTGAACCAGACCTGGATGACCAAATGACGGTGACGTTCAGAGAGTCGTCCAGATGCACTAAGAGAGTCGTCCAGATGTCGGGCAAGAGGACCACGCAGTGAACTTTGTCCAAACGTCACCTACGAGCTTCTCCAAACTGATAGGCGCTGTGGGATGAGTTTTAAAAGTTACTTGATGCCATCTATGGTTGCCAATGCCAGAGTCTTTGGCGAACCCATTTTACCTTTAACTTGCCGCGCGCAACTGCCAGACACCAAACCCTCCACGACTGCTAATCCAAGGTATGTCGTGCCAAGAACTCGTGCAAAACTCCAGGTTGGAAGCGGGTGCTGATGGACATCTCATTCGCTGGTGTTCTGGATTGGCCGGATGATGTTTGAACCAGGCCTGGAT